CACCACAGCAGTAGTGTGGATGGCTGTGGCTGCTCTGGGCCCGTTACCTCCTACGGGCCTACTGGCTAGGCTGCCACCATGGAGGAGACTCTGGTTAAGTAGTTAGCAGGTAAAAATGCTGGTTAACCTTTAATATCTTTAGGATATTAGGATACTTAGGATGAGGGGTTCAGTATGCAGGCTGCCCCAGGGAGAGAGCACTACCCCAGGCCCCTCTCACTGCAGCAGCTTGGGGCAGGTGAGAAGCACCTCTCCATGGCTGCTGCAGCTCCAGCAGGCACCGCTGGGTAAGGGGCACATGTTCCCCAGCTGGGGGAGGTCCAGATTTGTTTGCCCTCTCTTCTCCCCATGAAGAGTGAGGAATGCTGCAAACTGTGCACTTTCCTCTCACTCCATGACAAAGGGGAACAGCCAGAAATATTCCCATATGAATGGGAGGAGCGTCAGCAACCCATCACCCTTCCTAAAGGGTACCTGTGAGGTATGAGGCTCGAGGCTGAGGCAGTCCCAGACAGGGAGGACTCCCTCAGCCAGCTCTTTTCACCCACTTGGTGATCCTGTTTTCTTTCTGTATGCTTTTATGAGAAGCAATCTCATTCTGGGCACATCCCATTTTCCTGGCATAACCAAACCCTTCTCTTCTTTTAAGTTATGATAAGAGGAAGCTGTATAATGCTTTTGGTGGCCCTAGCTCTTACCATTTAGGAAGAGTTCTTGAATGGACAGACACACAGACAAATTCTCTCAAATATATAGTAGATTTAAGGATCTCCAAAATGTCTGCCTACTAACAGATTCAGCACTATCATAGTTATATAAGCTCATGTTCTCCTATTATACAACCATATGAGATTGTAAGCACATATTTATTAGAGAATACCACAATATCTATTAAGAGTCAGGAAACCACTGTTGGCCTCCTGTAGCAGACACTAAAGAAATTAGGGATTTTAAAATATGTGTAATTGTGTAACCACTGGGGGTGCCCCGCCTGCCACTCTGAGGCAGCAGTTGGCTGCCTGGGAGCTGGATCAGGAGGTGTGTGTGTATAAGTAACTGATAAGCTCATGCTTATTGATTCCCACTCTAAATGGCTACACTCTGACATTCCTAAAAGAAATATTAGCAAGAACTGAGTAACATACTAGTTGGATAGACCAGGTGAATTAGTAGATCTTCTCCATCTCTAATATCTAGAATTTTGCATAAGTTAAAATGATTCACTGCCTATTGACAAGGCAATGCTAGTATTAATTCTGAAGAGTAGATTTTATTAAAACTAATATTAATTACCAGAGACTTTTCAGATGAGTGTTCTTAAAAAATTATTTATCTGCTGCAGTTCTCATAACATGCTGGGTCAGCTGCTTGATTGTTGGGTGCTATGTGGCATCACAAAATAAGAAGTCGGAGGGCTGATTCCTGAGTTTGTGTCAGTGAACCTAGTGTCTATATAAAAAAGCCTTCCTTTAAGACGGTGAAAGTTCACAGTTTTATCTCTTTCCCCAGGGGAGAAGCCATACAAATGTGAACTGTGCGACAAAGGCTTTGCCCAGAAATGCCAGCTAGTTTTCCACAGTCGTATGCATCATGGGGAAGAGAAACCGTATAAATGTGATGTATGCAATCTGCAGTTTGCAACTTCAAGCAATCTGAAGATTCATGCAAGGTGAGTGAAAGTATTAAGTAAAGCCCTGATCCTGCAAATATTTATGCACAAGTTTAGTTTCACGCATGCGAATAGTTGACTTAAACTGTTGCTTGCACTTGAAGTTTAGTGTACATGTGCACATGCACGATTAGACCTAAAGAAAGGTTGTACTTGTTTTTGTCATTCCCAGTTCTTCCCTACTTTCAGGTCCAGGTTTTCATTGCGACTAATGTATGTGCTCGGTATTCTTCCTTCACCCAAGGTATTTATTTGGTATAGTAATCCATGTGGGATCATTCATCTTAGGGCCCCCTTTGCATTTGATACTATTTTCCCTTTCTAAACATACTGAGAAAGATGACTTCTCTCCCATTGGTTTTTTTGGTTTGGGGTGAATTCCTTTATGTTTGCTGGCAGGGGAGGTTACAACATGTCTTTCTGCAGTGGCTGTCAGTGTTGTTTGGTGTTTAGTTTTCATACTAGAGTGACAAGTCTTGCTTAATTTCTGGGTTCACCTATTTCCTGTGCAACGCCCTTAGCCTGCCACTGAAGTCAGTGGGACTCTTTCCATTGACTTTTTGAATTGGATCAGGCCCTGAGGATGAGAAACTTATATCTGAAAACTAGGCTCTAATCTTTCTCTTGTTTGGCCACAATATATCCCCCTTTGCAAGGCCGGAGATAACTGATATAACACAAAGTACCTTTCATCTTGTGTCCTCTTCTCCCTTGTGTGGAATTCTCTTATGTGTGTGTTTCTTAACAGGAAGCACAGTGGTGAGAAGCCCTATGTGTGTGATAGGTGTGGACAGAGGTTTGCCCAGGCCAGCACGCTTACGTACCATGTTCGTCGCCATACAGGAGAGAAGCCGTATGTGTGTGACACCTGTGGCAAAGCATTTGCAGTGTCCAGTTCTCTTATCACTCATTCACGAAAACATACAGGTGAGAATAAATGAGCTACTGAGTAAGTTGGCATAAACTGGGGGTTCAGCTTGGGGAGGGTGGCTGCAGTGGAAGAGGTAAAAGGAGCAGTTGGTAATACGTGAGTCTAAAGAGCAGACTTGGGTAGAAGGGGAGTCTGCATTAGTGAAGTCTGCATTAGTGGATATGGAATCTGTATAGGACAAGGGTGGGCACCCTGCCACTCCCCCACCGTCAGACTAATTGAGACCTGGTGACGGGGGAGCATGCAAAGTCTCCTCCCCTGCCAGGGGTGCGTGGCACCAGAGGGAACTGCTAGCAGGGATAGGGGTGAGAGACTTTGCATGCTCCCTCCGACCTCAGGCCCTCCTTTGGCTGCGACGCCTAGAGGGAACTGCCAGCTGTCTTAACAACTGGTGATTCTCTCTAGGCACCAGAGGCAGGGGGCAAAGACTTCACACACTCCCCATCCTCAGATCAATCAGGGTCCGTGGGCAGGGGAGCACGAAAGTCCCCTGGTCCCGCACCTTCCATGGTGGCCCGGGGCCACTTAAGAAATGTATGAAGTGGCCCCCCTTCAACTGCAGAGCTTCCTGCAGCCACAGGAAGTTCCACAAGGTAAAAGTGGAGCTGATCTCCCCTGCTACTGGGAGCAGTCCAGCTAAGGGCTCCTCACTGCTAGTCCTGGCCAGCTTGGGAGGAACAAGACTTGTTATCACTCTGCACAGCTAGACAAAGTGCTGCACCCCCTGCTCCACCCAGAGCTGCAGAAAACTCAGGCTGCTGCCCAGTCCCAGACATCATCCTGCAGCAAGGAGGGGGCACCTAGAGGTAGATCTGTCTGGTCTCTCCTTACCCCAGCAGCTAATGCAGGAGATAGACAAGTCCTGTCTCTCCATTGCCCAGTCTGAGCTAGGAAGCCCCCTTTGATGGGATACTCCTAGGAACAAGGAGACATCAGATTTCCCAGGGAAGTATTTACAGTCCGTGACATATTTTTCATGGCCATGAAATTGGTAGGGTTCTACTTATGTGAGATAGGGTTACCTGGTCCTTTCATCTGAACAGGATGCGCCTTGCTATGACTGAGTAGAAGTGGAAATAAAGATATGTCCCTGCAGCCAACACAAAGCAGTACGAAGGCAAGGCCTCCTCCAGCTCAGAAGCAGTAACACATTCCCAATTAGCAGTTTTTTTAAAGGGATATTAATAAGGGCCCAAAAGCAAACTATTCCACTGCATAGGAAAGATAAAAAGTATGACAGGAGATCTTACATGAGCCAGAGCAAAACCTCAGAGGCGCGGGACCCCACCGTGGCTGCGGCTTCGCTCCCGGTGTCCCTGGTCTGCTGGAGACGGTCCCCAGCAGACCAGGGGCACCGGGAGCAGCTTTTCTCGCCCCGGAGGTCGAGGTGGCGGATTGCTGCCTGCGAGCTCCGGGGTGAGAGAGCCCCGTTCATAAGTGCAGATCCGATGTAAGTCGGGGACTGCCTGTATTGCTCACCGCTTTACAGGAGAAAGTACCAAAGTCATGGCAGCTTTTTCTTTGGGGGTTTCTTAGCAGTGCAAATCTCAATTTTCATTGTGGTCTGGGGAGCTCTTCACACCATTGTACACTGACTCTGTTTAATTTGTATTTCACACACACATCTGTATATTAAAATATTAACCTTTTTGTGTACCCTCTAGGAGAGAAGCCATATATTTGTGGCATTTGTGGCAAAAGTTTTATTTCCTCGGGAGAGCTCAATAAACACTTTCGGTCTCATACAGGTTAGTTTCCAGACAGGCCACTACTATACATTTCTTTTAGTATACTCTTGCATTTAAAATATGATGTACTGTGCTATAATTGAGACATAAATTAAGATCACATACTATATATCTGTGTTAACGCATTTAAAAATGGATCAGATAGATTTCTTTACAGAAAAACTAAACTCTTGTATAAAAATAACGAGACTTCTGCAGGAACTCCAATGCTAACCTTTGTGTGAGTCCACATGTTGCTTAATCTCTTAGGGTATGTTTACACAGCAGTGTTATTTCGGAATAATTGGTGTTATTCCGAAATAACCTAGTCCGAGTTTACGCTACAAGCAGTTATTTCAACATAGTGTCGAGTTGGAGGACTTTTTACTCTGACTCCTGTAACCCTCATTTTACGAGGAGTAAGGGAAGTCGGAGGAAGAGTGCTCTTTCTCAGACTTCCTGCTGTGTAGACAGCGCCAAAAGCCAAAATAAGCTATTTCGACGTAAGCTGCGCAATTGACATAACTCAACTCAAGTTGTGTAGCTTATTTCGGCTATAGCCCTGCTGTGTAGACGTGCCCTTAGAGCCTCCATTTCCTCATCTGTAAAATAGAGATACTTTTTAAAACCATTTTGTGGATTATAAAGTGCTGTCTAACGGTGAAGCATTATAATAAGGAGGTAGCATGGGAAATATTCTCTGTGTGTGTGTATATATATAAAAAAACTTTTCCTGCATCCCGCCACCCATAAGCCCCATAGCTTCTTCCCACTGAGCTTTGCATACAGCAATTATGTGGATCAGTGACCCAGCTTCACTCCAACCCCTTGCCATGCACGCTGGGAAGAGTGACCCTAAAGAAGCTTAAGCAAGGCCCTGTACGTAGAGCCTGAGTGATGAGCCATCATTCTCTTCCCACTGCTGGGTCCCGGCTCTCCAATGCTGTTGGGAAACAAGGGGCACACCCAGGCTCCTGCTGTCTCCTTGCTGTGCTGCACAAGGATACACTTTCAAGGGGAGAGCTTCCTTCAGCCCTGGCTGCAGCTGAATCCAGCTCCTCCCCCACCCCGGGCAGCCTTCCAAGGGGTTGCGTCCCTAGTCTCCCCAACTCTGGCTCCAGCAGCCCCCGCTGTAGTAGGGCTGCCTCAGAAATGGAACCGATCCAGCGTGTTGTGGCTGTGCTCCCAGAACGAGAGCCTGGGGCTGGAGTCGGAGTGGGAGCTTGGAGGCATCTGGGACGAGGCAGCGGTGGCGCGTAAGAGAAACAACTCCTTGGGCCAGTAACCACCATGGCCACATGCAGGTGACCAAGTTCCGGGGGCTGCTGGTGCCACAAGCAGGGGGAAGTAGTATGAGGAGAGGGAGGCACCGCCGTGGAGGCTAAGAGGCAGCCTGCTCTTTAAATAGGGCCCAGTTCTGATGAAGCTTGCTGTCTTCCAGCTCCCCCTTTCCTCCCTGGTGCTCTGGGAGCTGCAAGGCTTCCCCCTCCCTGGTGCTGGGGAGGGGGGGGAGCTGTGTGGCCTCCCCCGTGCTCCAGGGAGCCGCGGGAGTTGTGAGCCATGTGGCCTCCCCTCTCCTCGTCCCCATGCTTGGGATGTGGGCGGGAGCCGTGCAACCTCCTGCCAGCCTGCTGTGGAGTGGGTGGGCTTGGCGCTAGCAGTGCATCCTGGCTGTCCTGGCGTGACCCCGCGTTGTAGCTTTTGGGTGGGGGTGAGGAGTGCAAGGGCCTGTTCCCTGGCAGTGGCTGTAGCATGTCTCATGGCAGCGCCACTGCCTGGTTCCCTTCTACCCAAGATGGTGGAGAGCCTCCCTGAGCATGAGTGGATCCTGTATGAGATGGAGAGCTTGGACATCGCCTCCATCCTGCGGTGAGGGACTGGGGTTAGGGGGTCTGTAGACAGAGATGGGCCTCCCGCCTGGCGACACCCAGGGGTTGGGCGCAGTACCCCCCCACCCCCCCAAGGCACCCTGGTTCTGGTGAACTCTGTGAAGGTGCAGGTGCCCATCCAGGGGTGTGGTGGGTCAGGAGCAGAGAAGGGTGCAAGTGACTTTAGCCATGGAGAGTGCAGCCAGGCTCAGTGCAAGACTAACAGGCTGTCTGGCTGTGAAAGCAGCCACCGAGAGGGGGGTTGGTGAGTGTAGTGAGCAGGGGGCACAGCCCCCTAGTAAATATTAAAGAAATTATTCACATTGTAATATTGCAATTTTCAGATAAACATTTTTACAAAGACTAATTGGGTTTGTGATCTGCTCATAGGTTGATTTGCTTCAAATGAAGCAGTCAGTCCTCTATTCACCATTTTCATCTTGTCTTTCTTTGAATGTTTTCATTCTGGATACAGTTCTTAGATGGGTTTAGTTTATAAAACCGGTAAAGTAATTTTTATTGCAGTTATTTTGCTACCGTCTGTTCTATAGGCAGCCTAAGAAATAGTTATTCTGTCTTTTTGAAATTATGTTGTGCACTTCTAATTGTCAAATCATTTTTCAGGTGAACGACCATTTATATGTGAACTCTGTGGAAATTCTTACACAGACATAAAAAATTTAAAAAAGCACAAAACGAAAGTCCACACAGGTAAGTGTTAGTCTTGTAAAAATGATTTTTGGTGTCAAAAAATAATGATTCTGCTTTAGTGCTGAATAAATGTTTTTAAATGTAACACAGAATTAGATAAGAAAAGAGGTGGCCAGTGGGCCAGATCTGGCCTGTGGCCACCTTGCCAACATTCTCTCTCCACAGCAGGGTGCCCCGGGGCCACTTTAGAAGCATATGAAGTGGTCCCCTTTTAAACAGCTGGCTGCTAATTGCTCTGCAAACTGGGGAGAGAGGGTAGAATTTGTGTGCTGTTCCACCCCCAGCAAAATCCCTCAGCTCCAGTTGGCCAATTTCTGGCCAATAGGAGCTGAGAAATTTTGCTGGAGGCAGGGGCAGAGGAAAGGCTCCTTCCTCCCTCCTTCTCAGTGCTGGAGCAGAGCCATGTGGAATAGCCCGCCCTGCAGACTCAGGTTCCTGCTGGGCTGATGACTGGGAGCTGCCTAGGTAAGAGTCTCACAGCCTGCCTCTTGCACTCCTCCCCTCTCTTCCTCTCCACCCCTGGTCAGCAGGCCCTTCTGCCCTAGGTCACCACCCCAACCCTCTGTATCCCCTCTTCCTATCTGCTCCAGGTCACAACTCCCAGACTCTGCACCCCCCCCATACATGCCTCCCTGAGGCCAGAATCCTCTCCATCCATACCTCCAACCCTGCTCCAGATCATAACCTCTTCCTTCACCCAAACTCCCTCTCAGATCCAACACCCCCTGCTTTACCCCAATCCTCTATTCCAAGCTTTCTTCTGCACCCCACCCACTATCCCAGACCTCACCCCTGCTCCATAGAAGTGTGTCCCTTAACTATTTACCAAAATCTTCAGTGTAATCCTCCCCTCCCAATTAAAAATTATTGCCCACCCCTGCTCTAATGGCGCCCACACTTTCAGATAATAAGGATTGGAAAAAAAGCAGGTTTGAGAATGAAAGGTCTTGGGGCGATTTTAAAAAGAAAATGTGGTGATGGCTACAGCGTTAAGCCACTGTTTTCAATAGGGAATGAGGGATTGCTGACTTGAATATTAATACAGTAAACTTCCGATAATCCGGCACCTTTAGGACCCAAGGGGTGCCGGATTATCAGATATGCCGGACTATCAGAAGGTGGGGCTATGAGGGGTCTGGAGTAGGGTGGGAGCCAGCCCAGACCCCTCATAGCCCCCCCCCTTATGA